TTCAAAGTATGAAATCCTTTTTTCTTTTTTAACTCGCTGTTCTATTCAAGATATGGGTTCTTAATAAATACGTCTTGGGAAATAATGTGGCATGACTGGTCAACATTTTTCTTTCTGTAAATCAGAGGTATTAATACGGTTTCATTAGCCCTATGTAAACTTTAATCCTCACATAAACTGAGGAACAGAGAGACTGGTTCTTCAAATTCAATGTACAGAATTCCAGCTGCCTGCTTTGAGAAGACTCTTGCAAAAAAAAGTTAATACTATGCTTAGTTTAAAAGAAAGGTAATTCCACTTTATACCTTTTGAATCACCATGAACAAATTCCTGATTCACATATCGATCAATTTATTTCTGAAAATATGCAAATCTTTAAACTAAATCTGGCTTCTCAAGAATAAAGCTTAAAATTTTCTATTTGTCATTTAACAATTTCTATCAAGCAATGTTTTTTATGGTACAGAAAAAGCAGTGAAAACATTTAAGATAGGGACAATAGATAAGTCTAATTTTAGGGCAGAAAGTAAATAGGATTTGCAAGTAATAATGAGAAAATATTTCTGCTAGGATCAACAACATACACTGGACTAGGACAGGTTAATGGTATGTTTATAAACACAAATAAATATTGAATTCTGATATTTAATATCTTTACTGAGGAGAAAAAAGTAGCTTTATGCACTGCTAAATTTTATTCATATGTTCTGGAAAAGAACTTCAACTACATTTTCCTAAGTCTAGCAGATATCCAACTGTAAACACAAAGCCCACTGCAAAAAATGGGTTGAAAATTAAAGCTGAAGGTGATCTTAAATTTGCATAATTGAAGTCTTATCAAATCAAAGCTGGATTCAGAAAACTCAGAACTCTCCATTTGGCTTTAAACAGCTGAATGTCTATTAAATAGCAGAAAATGAGTATAGCTCTATGGAACAAATGATACTTGACAAATATTCTGTCAACATTCAGAACACTGATGTTTCTAAATATTCTGCAGCAAAGCAAATAATCTAATAAAAGTCCAACCTTTGAATATATACTTAAATGTAAACTGTCAAAACTATACTCAAATGAATGCATAGTAAACATTTATGAAAATGATATTCATAGAATAAGCAATACAAAGATAACATTTACAGAATATGCAAATTTATAAAATGAGATAAATATTTATATGTTGTAACAAAACTACTTTCATGTGTGCATTAACTATAATACTAACAGGTTTTAAAGTAAGAGCGATGCTCCTTAGAGATCTCAGCTAGTTCTTAGACTTTGCTACCACATGCCCTACATAACTCCATCAAAGTACTTGTCATATTATAGTGGAATTCTCTCTTTCTTGCGACTTCTCCCACCCTGCACTTGACTCTAAGGTTGTTTCTTTATCCCTTGAGCCTAAAACAGTCCTTAGCCTATAGTAGATGCAGAAAGGACATTTCTTGAAAGAATAATGCAGAATTAAGGGAATTCTGGGAACCACGCCTACTAGGAATCACGTAGTTTTGTAACTACATATCTGAATTTCTAAGGGGGCTCAAACTGTGAATACACACTGAAAGATAAAGTCCTTGTCTATGAATACTGTAAGTAAACAAATATACTACCTGCATTACATGAAATAATCTAAGAATGAACCTGGCAGTCATAATTCACTTTTCCTTCCATCTCACTCCCACATAAGAAATTAAAATTCTGTAAATTTCATCTTTTCTGAAATACAAGCTCTTTACCCTTCTTCCTACTTGACTACAATGCATGTTTCCTATAATGTGAAGTAGCCCATATGTGACCAGTGAAAAGGAGAATAGTGGTAGCAAAACAGAGAGGTTATATTGGTTTACATGGGATTTTTTCCAAACATATTAATGTTTTGTGCCACAGGTAACTGCAGCTGAATATAAATTATGTTAATAGCTAAAATTAGCTACTATTTTTAATGCATGTATTTGCAGAACATGAGGTTTTTCAGTAATATTTATCTGCAGTAGAAATGACTGTACATTCATCTTTGGTGAGCTATATTAAATTTATTAAATAAGCAGATATTAAATAAGCTACTTAAATTATTAAATAAGCTACAATTATGTGTTAAGATGAGGAATAAAAGAGAAATGAAAGAACAGACAATTACCGATGATGACTACTTTGTTAGGTATAGTGTTAAGGGCTCTGAATACTTTCACTAAGTTGAGTCTATCCCAGGAACACAAGGTTGGTTTAACATTCAAAATACAATCAATGTAAAGGCTGGGTGGAGTGGCTCATGCCTGTAATCCCAACACTTTGGGAGGCTGAAGTCAGAGGATCACTTGAGACCAGGAGTTCAAGACCAGCCTGGGAAATATACCAAGACCCCATTTCTCCAGAAAAAAAAAAAACAAAATTAGCCAGGCATGGTGGCACGTGCCTGTAGTCCTAGCTACTTGGGAGGCTGAGGTGGGAGGATCACTTGAGCCCAGGAGTTTGAGGCTGTGGTGAGCTATGATTATACCACTGCGCTCCAGCCTGGGCAACAGACTCCAAAAAAACAAAACCCAAAACCACATATATACGTGTGTGTGTGTGTGTGTGTGTGTGTGTGTGTGTGTGTGTATATATATATATCTGGCAAAGTATAAATAACACATTTCTCAAAATTTCAATAATCCTCTTATCCTTATAGTACAGAAATTCTTATAAGAACTTTACTTAACTCTCACATATTTCTAGTAAAATATAAAATTTGACAATAAGAATTTTTATACATTCTTTGTTCTAATATACATATTTTATATATTTTCTTCTAATATATACACTTTTTTGTTCTAATATTGATTAGATATAATATACATAATATATATGTATATTCAATGTAATTCGTGTACTAACAACAAAAAGAAAAACCCTATCATCATCTCAGTAGGCAGATAAAAAGCCTTTGATTCCTGTGATGTATCTAGTTAGAAAAGAAATTAAAAAAGAAAAAAAGATTTTAAAAGCCTTTGAAAAAATCCAAAATCCATTCATGATAAAAACTCAGCAAACTTGACTGAAAGGACAGTAATTTTAAAGTAGTGGTTATAGCTATTTTCAATATCTTAAAGGAAAATCCGTTTATAATGAATGCAAGATAGGGCATCTCAAAAGAGCAATAAAAACTATGAAAAAAAGAATCAAACTGAAACTCTAGAACTAAAAAATACAATACTTAAATATAACCCAAGAAAGACACCATAAATAAGGCTTTCCAGTTTCTCTAATTTTTACTAGTCTATTTATGGACATTGCATTATAATTTTTAAAAATTTAAGACAGAAAAATATCAATGAACTATAATAAACATGTGGACTAGAGAAACTGATGTCCTCTTGATTTTTGTGTGTAGTTTTCAGTTTCCTTGTATTTAAAATGAGTAATTTAATTAACAAAAAATTATGGACAGTTTCCTAAGGGTTTAAACACTGATGACATGAAGTCAAAAAAAAAAAAAAAAAAAAAAAGAAAAAAGTCTCTGTCCTCAAGGAATAATCTACAAGGAAGAGCTCGTAGTCTCTAAGAACCCCTTCTATTGTTGTAGTTGTGGAACTACCCAATGAGATTAATTCTATCCCAATAAGACCCAAAAGGAATACTGAACATATCTGGCAAAGTACAGATAACACATTTCTCAAAATTTCAACAATCTTATTAACCTTATAGTACAGAAATTCTTGTAAGGACTTTACTTGACTGAACTCTCACATATTTCTAGTAAAATATAAAATTTGACAATCAGAATTTTTATACATTTTTTGTTCTAAGAGATCTTTAGGGTAATTCTTTTTTCTAAATCCGTTAATATATTTTGCATGTTTATAAAAAAGGCTTGAAACACTGGAGAAGGATGAAACTAAAGAATATTCACTAGATCCAAAAATGTGGAAATCGCAAGTTCAAGAGTCAGAAACCCTAAAAGCAATTTCACAAAATTTGTAAAATTTGAAGAAATTATAAGTGGATTAAAAATGGAAAATACCTAAAACTATGAAATAACATGAGGGCAAATGCATGCAACACAGCAGTTCAGAGCAGAGACTCTGGGATTAGATAGGGATTTATGTCTAGGGTTTACCATTTTCTATGACCCATGACCTTAATTAATTGTTCTATCTCTAGAACATCTATAAAGTATCACCAGATAACTGTAGGTTAAATGAGAAAACTAGTATTAGTCATATAGATTGATACAACTCTTTAGATAGGCATTTATGCTAACATTCCTGAAATATGTTCTCATGGGCTGTTAGTAAGTGTTGTTGGGGGAAATTTAAGATTCTATGAGTTTGGGCATCTGGTTTATTTCAGGGCTTCTCAGTCTTTAATATGTAAATGCACATTGAGAATTTCCAAAAGGGAAACATAATATTTTGCATTTCTAAAACTTATTTGACTGACCCCATTTGCAATGAGTATCTCAAGGTACTAGTATGTTCCACTGAAATCAAATTTCCAAAACTGTGACTTGGGTACTATGTAGGACTATGAATAAATTGATATCCTCTAATCCAATAGATCGATCCCTCAGCATTTTTATAATATTAAAAAGTGAATTCAATAAGAATGAAGACACTTTGTGCAGTGTTTTTATAATAGCAAAAATCGTAAGACCTCAATGTCCAATGATAGAGAGATAAAAATATATCAATGTCAAGGACTATTATGCAGCCAGAATGGAGACTACAGCTGCATGAAAATGTTAAGACAATCCAATTTTCTACGTGTATTAGGATTATAACAATATAAAATATATATATATATATGGACAAAGAAGAGAACAGATGAAAACAAAACAAATTAATGTTCCAGATAGAACTGGAGTCACCCTTTTATTTAGTTTATATTTTATAATATTCTATATATGATAGACAGTGGTTAACTGTAAACAAAGACACAAAGGTAAGAATCTTGATTAAAAACTTTTAATACGTCTCTTCTCATATTAAGTTTGCTGATAATAAATGATATTTAAATTATAGGACCATTCAAAGACTGTCAGCAAGCAAAAGAAGCTGGGCATTCGGTCAGTGGGATTTATATGATTAAACCTGAAAACAGCAATGGACCAATGCAGTTATGGTGTGAAAACAGTTTGGATCCTGGGGGTTGGACTGTTATTCAGAAAAGAACAGATGGCTCTGTCAACTTCTTCAGAAATTGGGAAAATTATAAGGTAAATCAGTGATGCAGTCCTAAGGGAGGTAAAACAAACCCATTCTTGCAATAATGCAAGAAACAAGATGCTATGCAATAAATAAGATACACAGTTAAAAATAACTATCCATATGTTTTTTCATTATCTACATCTGTCAAAAAAATGATTCTCATCTCTAGTTTTAAAGTGAAAATTAAATTGTAAAAAGAAAACAGAAGATATACTTTAAAATGATCCCTTTCAGTTTGGATGACTTATACTTACTACTTTACAAAAATTACTATTAGGAAAGAAATGTTGGGCTCTTTAAATGAACATGAGAGAGACCAGGAACCCTTTTTAAGGATCTGGGTAGTATACTAGCTAATATTTTTAGTAGCTATGGATAAATTTTATTCTCATTTGCCTTTGTCTTAATTTGTAGGATTTGAAGCTAGGTCTGCAAATGATTACTGACACATTAGAAGCAAAAAAAAAAAAACAAAAAAAAACAAAAAAAACAGAATGACAATGTGTGGCTTATAAACCTCAAGTGACCAACTAAAATGGAAGCTCACATTATCACTTAAATGGCCAATATCTTTATGCTATTGAATGTTTAACACTTATCTATAAAAATGTTTACTATATACTTATTTATGCACTCATGTTTCTTCACTTATTAACAGAAAGGGTTTGGAAACATTGACGGAGAATATTGGCTTGGACTGGAAAATATCTATATGCTTAGCAATCAAGATAATTACAAGTTACTGATTGAATTAGAAGACTGGAGTGATAAAAAAGTCTATGCAGAATACAGCAGCTTTCGTCTGGAACCCGAAAGTGAATTCTATAGACTGCGCCTGGGAACTTACCAGGGAAATGCAGGGGATTCTATGATGTGGCATAATGGTAAACAATTCACCACACTGGACAGAGATAAAGATATGTATGCAGGTAAGTATGAAAAACTTTCATTCTTTGTAGAATAATCATCTTCTATACATTAAATAGAATCTACTAATATATATGCTACTAAAGTCTTTTCAAAAAGGTCAGTTTTGGTCACTGTAACAGGAAGTATAACCTACTGAAAGAAATAGCTTTTAAGATCTCTTCTATAAGGCAATCCCAAAGTGTGATCTATGTGAAAAACAAAGTTCTAGGAAAAAAACACAAAGCAAAACAGAAACACATTCATCTGGAAATAAAGTGCAAGTGCCTACAATTCATAACAACTTAACACCTACCATGTGCCAGGCACTGTTGTAGGTGCTAGGGATATAACAGTGAATAAAGTTCCTGCCCTTTGGAGCTTACTCACTGGAGGAGAGACAAAACAATTTGTTAGGTGGCAATAAGTACTCTCAAAAATAAAACTGAGTAAGAAAATAGAAAGTGGTGGGCAGCAAGGCCTGGGATGGGGGCTATTTTATATGGGTTCGCCAGGAAAAGCTACTGTGAGAAAGTAACATTTGAATAAAGACTCGCAAGGAGTGAAGGATGCAAGCCATCTGGATACATGGTGTAAGAGCATTTCTTTGAGGGGGAAAACCAAGATGACTGTAACATGTGGCACAGGAATAACAAAAAAGCTTGATTCAAAGGGGAAATTAGTATTTTCATTAGAAAGAAACAACTAGACCATCCACATAATTTCAAATTTAGTTTTCATATGCTTTTGACTTTTTAACCCAGCTTTCTGGTCCTGATAAACAGATTCTCCCCCAACAATTCTCCCCTATCCCTGCCCCAAACTGGTTTTTCTCTCCAGCTGTATTTTGGCAAACAGCACACAGGTCTTTATTTTAACCAATTTCACACTGGTAAACAAGAAAAGAAGAGAGATATGACCATAACTTATGTCTTATTTACAGAAACCCATTTGACTGCTGGTTTTATTTTACTTTGTATTATTTTTTGCTATTTTATTTTGAAAATTCAGTTTTCCTCAGACTTTTACCTTCTTCTGTATCTTTCCTTCCCAATTTCTTCCTCTGTAACTCTTTCACATATAAACACTGCTTGCATCTACTCTGCTACCTAGAAAATTAAATCCCCCTTTTTTAAAAAAGGCACATTTTAAGCAAGCAAAGAGCAAGATTTAAAAAAAGGCAATTCAAGTAATCTTTCAAGTAGTTGATGCAACAGCAATAAAAAAAGTGAAGACATTTAAAACTGCTAAGATAAAGGTAACTGGAATTAGTAAGGGAAGTTCAAATTAAAGGCAGAATAAGTTTTTGATGATTGCAGAGTACCACACCTAGAAGAAACTTTTACGTTTATATCTATATTTTTTCCTCAAAGGAAACTGCGCCCACTTTCATAAAGGAGGCTGGTGGTACAATGCCTGTGCACATTCTAACCTAAATGGAGTATGGTACAGAGGAGGCCATTACAGAAGCAAGCACCAAGATGGAATTTTCTGGGCCGAATACAGAGGCGGGTCATACTCCTTAAGAGCAGTTCAGATGATGATCAAGCCTATTGACTGAAGAGAGACACTCGCCAATTTAAATGACACAGAACTTTGTACTTTTCAGTTCTTAAAAATGTAAATGTTACATGTATATTACCTGGCACAATTTATTTCTACACATAAAGTTTTTAAAATGAATTTTACCTTAACTATAAAAGGGGAACCTATAAATGTAGTTTCATCTGTTGTCAATTACTGCAGAAAATTATGTGTTTCCACGTCCTAGTTATTTTAAAAATTATGTTGACTAAATACAGTTTGTTTCCTAAAATGTAAATATTTGCAAATCTTAGCTATATTTTAAAACATAACTAAATAACATGTTCAAGATCCTTAACAATTTATTTAAAATCTAAGATTGCTCTAACTTCTAGTGAAAAAAATATTTTTAAAATTTCAGCCAAATAATGCATTTTATTTATAAAAATATAGACAGAAAATTAGAGAGAAACCTCTAGTTTTGCCAATAGAAAATACTTTTTCCATTGAATAAAAGCTATTTCAAACTGAATTTGTGCCTTTCACATGGAATGATTAAATCTGAATTCTTAACAACATATCCTATGCTGATTTTCCCAAAACAACATGACCCATAGTATTAAATACATATCATTTTTAAAAATAAAAACCCCCCACAAATAATGCATGCATTATTTAAATGGTCAATTTATAAAGACAAATCTATGAATGAATTTCTCAGTTTTCTCATATTTCTTCATATGATATGCTGAACACCAAAATCTCCAGAAATGCATTTTATGTAGTTTTAAAATCAGCAAAATATTAGTATTACAAAAATGCAGAATATTTAGTGTGCTACAGATCTGAATTATAATTCTAATTTATTACTACTTTTTTTCTAATTTACTGATCTTACTATTATAAAGAAAACAAACCCCATCCTATCTGCAATTCAAATCAGAAAGTTTGGACAGCTTTCCAAGTATTAGTGCATACTTTGAACAGGTGGGACTAAAATTCAAGGAATTGGCTGTTTTCCCAATACTGAGAATTCAACAGCTCCAGAGCAGAAGCCACAGGGGCATAGCTAGTCCAAACTGCTAATTTCATTTTACAGTGTGTGTAAAGCTTAGTCTCACAGTGTCTCTGCAATCAACAACTTTACTAGTGACTTTCTGGAACAATTTCCTTCCAGAAACATATTTACTGCTTAGAGGTGACTTTTCCTTAATTTATTTGTGAAGTTAAAATTTTAAAGATATCTCATGAAACTTTTGCTTAAGCAAAAAGAAAATCTTGAATTGAAATGTGTGAGGCAAACTATGCATGGGAATGGTTTAATGTGAAGATAATCATTTGAACAACTCAAGTCCCTCAACATGACCAATGTTTTTCATCTGCCACATTTCAAAATAAAACTTTTGGTGAAACAAATTAAACAAAATATCCAAACCTCATAGTGGCATTATTCTTTGTTTTACCTGTGGTCCTCTTAAACTGGTTTTTCAGTCCCTCTCCTCTTCCTCCAGAACCGAAGAATCTGTAATAAGATTCCTGGAAGGAACTGGGCATCTAACTGCTATACCAAATCTTAAGTGAATAAAACTGTACCAAGGCATCTCAGTTATTGAAAGCACTATATCATTTCATTTAAACACCCAAAACTTTATCAAAGACAAGTCTTACAGAATTTTCACAGAAGAACATTATTAAAACTAGAATGTGAAAGTCAACACACAACCTTGGAAAACTAGGCTGAATGCTAAACTGCCTTAGCCAATGGGCCCATTCTGCTCTCCTTCAGAGAGCTGATTTATTTTACTCTGAAGTTCCCAGACAGCATAATAACTTGGGCAACTAAGTTTCTTGAGAGAAGAAAATAAGAAGTGGTATTATATGATAGTTAGCTCAGGTTCTGAAGTCAGAACTGCTTGGGTCCCTGGCCCAGCTCTACTACTTGCTAGTTGTGTTACCTTGAGCAATTTATAAACTCCTGGCTCAGCTTTCCTGGCTATAAAATGGAGTATAATATCTAGCTCATGTGGTTTTTGTGACGATCAAATAAATGAGTTGATACAGGTAAAACATTAAGAATAATGCTTGACACATGTAAGTACTCAGTAGATTTAAACTATCATATTATTACTACTCATCTACGTACTTTCTGCAATACAAATCATAGCACCTTGCATAGAGTATGTGATTAACAAATGTGTTTTAAAAACAATATCCGGGCTGGGCGCAGTGGCTTACGCCTGTAATCCCAAGACTTTGGGAGGCCGAGGCAGGTGGATCACTTGAGTTCAGGAGTTCGAGACCAGCCTGGCCAACATGGTAAAACCCCATCTCTACTGAAAACACAAAAATTAGCCAGGTGTGGCACGTGCCTGTAATCCCAGCTACTCGGGAGGCTGAGGCAGGAGAATTGCTTGCAGTGGGCTGAGATTACGCCTCTGCACTCAAGCCTGGGGGATACAGTGAGACTCCTTCTCAAAAAAACAAGACAAAACAAAACAATATCCAAGTTTTTGGATATGAAATTACATTGATACATTATCTTCACTTGCAAATCTAACAGAGCCATGCCAGCTGTTACATCAGGCAAGTAAGCGGCTGGACTACAAATAAAAAGAAACTCTTCTTAGAGACATAGTATGAACTTCAGCCTAAAGACAGTCTTGCGAAAGACCAGGTTAGCTCATTTGTGTGATAGGCAGGGTCCAAGAGCTATCTACTTTGCAGGTCATCTAGGAATAAAGATGGGTTTGCCTTATCTTTGGCAAGATTGAACAACCTTCCCTTAGAGCTGGTTTATAGAAGGATTCTTTTTTAAATTTTTCTGTCTTTTTTTTTTTTTAAGACAGGGTCCCACTATGTCACCCAGGTTGGAGTGCAGTGGCACGATCTTAGCTCACTGTAACCTCGAACTCCTGGGCTCAAGCAATCCTCCTACCTTAGCCTCCTGAGTAGCTGGGACTACAGGAGCATGCCACCATGCCCAGCTAATTTTTGTATTTTCTTTGTAGAGATGGGGTCTCACTATGTTGCCCAGGCTGGTCTCAAACTCCTGGCCTCAAGTGATTCTCCCACCTTGGCCTCCCTAAGCACTGGGATTACAGGTGTGAGCCACTATGTCTAGTCAAGAAAGGTTTTTTATATTGTTACTGTTAATAAGTTAATGAATTTTATCCTACAATAGATTTAGACTCTATTCTGGACTAAATGGGAGGCCATGATTGCCTAGAACACTTGACCTCTCTGAAGCAGATTTTAAAAGTTTGAGATTTTGGAAAATGCCAAAATTAGATAGCAACTTGAAATTTGGTAGACACCTACAAATACACTATCTCTGGGCTTCATGCCTGGTAGTATAAAGATCAATTTTCATTCTGTTGTTTATTTAACTCTGAGTCATGATAGGAGAGTGCTATTCTCTTAGCATTGTATTTTTTAGGGCTCCTGCTGGTAATATAAGAAGAATAAACCTTCTGCAATCATAAAAACATTTCAAATAACTTATAAATCTGTCCTAAAATAATATGGTTTACATGTATTTAACTTAATATTTGTAGTAAGTTAAAGATTATACCCTAACAAGTTTTTAGTCTTTTTATTCTAGTGTCTGTGAAAGATAACCAAGTAAGAAAAGAATGATTCCACTTACAATGCTATGACCTTGCCCTGAAAAAAAGGCCATCTTATCTTAAACTAGCTCACTTTTCAGTTTTTTTTTTCTTCTTGACACAGAGTTTTGCTCTTGTTGCACAGGCTGAAGTGCAATGGCACGATCTTGGCTCACTGCAACCTCCGCCTCCCGGGTTCAAGCTATTCTCCTGCCTCAGCCTCCCCAGTAGCTGGGATTACAGGTGTTTGCCACCACACCCAGCTAATTTTTGTATTTTCAGTAGAGATGGCATTTCACCATGTTGGCCAGGCTAGTCTCGAACTCCTGACCTCAGGTGATCCGCCTGCCTTGGCCTTCCAAAGTGCTGGGATTAGAGGCATGAGTCACCATGCCCAGCCACTTTTTAGTTTTATCAGTGGAGTTAACTGGTATCAAATTATAATTCTATACATAATTATAGGAAAGACTGATGAACTCAAAATTTTAACCTAAACACAGATACCCCAAATTTTAATGTAATCCATCATGCTTTCTTTGAGCTGTGAATGAAATGCATATCTTTATAGCAAGTCAATTTAATCTCCTTTGTCTCAGTTTTTTCACCCGTAAAATACAAATAATATCATTTACTTTATAAAACTGCTGTTACGTATTAATCTATATAAAGTACAGTGTCAGCTATATAGGCCTAAGTGTTGAATAAATGTTACTGAAATTATTATTTTCCTGCCAAAGCTTGCTTAAAAAAATTACAAAACTGAAATATTCAGAGTTGGAAACACCACTGGCAAAACTGTTGTTAGGGGGGAATCTGATTCCATTTACAATTAGCATGCAGATCTGTATAGCTGCTATTCTTATTTTTTTAGAAAGACAAGGCACTTAAAGAAAACACTATGAACATGGGGATGAAATTAACACAACCCCACCCCCAGCTCTTTTATTTCAGAAGTCTTTGGTCTAAAGTAAACTTCAGAAAACATATCAACAAAGAACTTAGAAGAATTTTAAATATATAAAAGAGTGAGGGTACAAAAATATATATAAATGAAGTAATGGAAAATGGGGATGTAATTCTGGCTACAGAAAAGGGGCTAGCTGCCATGTGGTCAGAGCTTATTCTCAAATCCAAAAGAAATTCAGTGAAGATGCTTTACTGCTGTTTCAGCATACAATATATAACAACATATAATTAAAAGAATAGGGTAATCTATAATGTATGTTACTGACAAATCAAATTAAAGAAAGAAAAATGGAATAAAACTTAAAAAATTAAAAGCCAATGACATTTTTTGATCATTAGGCATTTTTGAGATCAGTGTCAAAGCCTCACATATTGAAGAAAAATTATATCAAAGGAGAGGAAAAATCTCCTTTTAATTCCTACAGATGAGCAAAAAGACTTGGACTTTGTTGAAATGATCTGAATAGAAATATGAATTAAAAACTCTTATTTTTGAAAATATTTTTACATGAGTTAGAAATTTCTAAAACTAAATAACTATATTCTACTGAATATTTAACAATTCAATCTATGCAAAAACGACTGAAAACCAAATCGGTAAGATTCTTATCATGTTAGATACGCTTTAAAAATGTCATTAACTATGATGAGGACACTACTAAGAACGTAAGGCACAAGGCAATGATATGCATCTCTACCAGGATATAGAAAAGAGGAGAGATCATTCATGAGGTAATGATATCCTGGACCTTTGTTATTACAGAGGTATTAAGTTCTATAAAGGCAGGGACAAAGCCCATTGTAATCTCCTGCTATATATTTAGCAACAAGCACAGTGCTAAGTAAATACTAGGTGCCAGCTGAGGCACCAAAAACAAAACAAAATAACAACAACAAAAAAAATCAGGGGTGGGTAAGGAGTTGAGTTGATCCATGCAAATACGCCACACAAATACATTTATTGTTTAAACAGAAATTAAATCAAAATTACTGAAACAATGGGAAGAGCCAGAAAGGGATAATTAGTTGAACCAAGAAACATTTATTATATGACTACTTTTGTTCTAGATGCTATAAGGATAAACCCTTAAACCAAGACAAATAGGGGCTTACATTCTGTTGAGGAGGAGACAGATTAATGAAAATATCATAAATAGGGTGCTTTGCAGAGAGCAGTAGGCTAGGAACACTATATTACAGAGGGTTATAAGAACAGCATTTCTCTTCTAACAAAAAAGTCCTATTATGAAAACCTGACATATTAAATTAAAAATTAAATGGGGAAGGGGAAGGAGAAATCTCTCTCCAATAGGAAAACCGAGTCATATCTAGATCCATCAAAAGAGTATATTCTACAGAGGGCTAGAGATTTTACAAAAACTTTTCTGTTACATTCTGCTTCTACTTAATAGGAAACAGTATAGAGTACTGCAACAATTTACTGATTTCCATGGTTCAAAAAATACGTTTTTTTTTTTTTTTTTTTTGAGATGGAGTCTTGCTCTGTCACCCAAGCTGGAGTGCCACGGTGCGATCTCGGCTCAATGCAGCCTCCACCTCCTGGGTTCAAGCAATTCTCCTGCTTCAGCCTCCTGAGTAGCTGGGAGTACAGGCATGTGCCACCACACCCAGCTAATTTTTTGCATTTTTTAGTAGAGACATGGTTTTGCCACGTTGGCCAGGCTGGTCTTGAACTCCTGACCTCAGGTGATCCACCCGCCTCAGCCTCCCAAAGTGCTGGGATTACAGGCATAAACCACCGCAACTAGCCAAAATATGCTTTCTTGGTCGAGCTACTACATCTTTGTAGTACATAAAGTAGAAATGTGGCTTAGAAAAGGCACATTAAAGAATATTTATCATGTTTCAT